GCAAATTGGATCCAAGAACATATCAGAAAAGTCATCCACCATGATCAAGTAGGCTTCATTCTAGGGATGCAAGGATGGTTCAGCATACAAAAACATATCAATGTAATCCACCGTATAAACAAGATGAGAAGCAGAAATCACATGATCATTTTACTGGATGCTGGAAAAGCCTTTGACAAAATCCAACAGCCCTTCATGATAAAGGTCTTGGAGAGATCTGGGATAACAGGAACTTACCTCAACATAATAAAAGCTATATGCAGCAAACCAACAGCCAACATCAAACTAAATGGACAGAAACTCAACGCAATTCCTCTAAGATCAGGAGCAAGACAAAGCTATCCACTCTCTCCATATATCTTCAATATTGTACTTGAAGTTCTAGTTAGAGCAATATGACAACAAAAGGAGGTCAAGGGGATACAAATTTGAAAAGACGAGGTCAAACTTTCATTATTTGCAGATGATATGATAGTTTACATAAGCGATCCAAAAAAACTCTACCAGGGAACTCCTGCAGCTGATAAATACTTTCAGCAAAGTGGCAGGATACAAGATCAGCTCAAGAAAATAAGTAGCCCTACTATATACAGATGATCAAAGGGCTAAGAAAGAAATCAGAGAAACATCGCCCTTTACAATTTCCACAAACAATATAAAATACCTTAGGGTAACGCTAACCAAACAAGTGAAAAACCTGTATAGCAAGAACTTTGAGTCTTTAAAGAAAGAAATTAAAGAAGACACCAGAAGGTGTAAAAATCTCCCATGCTCTTGGATAGGTAGGATTAAAATAGTAAAAATGACAATCTTACCGAAAGCAATATACAGATTTAACGCAATCCCCATTAAAATCCCAGCACAATTCTTCACAGACCTTTAAAGTACAATAATCAACTTTATATGGAAAAACAAAAGACCCAGGATAGCCAAACCAACCTTATTCAACAAAGCAACATCTGGAGGCATCACCATCCCTGACTTCAAGCTGAAAACAGCTTGGTATTGCCACAAAAATAGACAGGTAGACCAATGAACACCCTGATATTAACCCATACATATATGACCATCTGATTTTCGAAAAAGAAGCTAAAAATATACAATGGAAAAAAGAAAGTATCTTCAAATGGTGCTGGCATAACTGGATGTTGGCATATAGAAGATTGTGGATAGATCCATGTCTATCGCCATGCACAAAAATTAAGTCTAAATCGATCAAAGACCTCAACATAAATCCAGACACGCTGAATCTGTTAGAAGAGAAAGTGGGGCACACCCTTGAACAAATTGGTATAGAAGTCTTCTTCCTGAACATAACTCCAGTAGCACAGACACTGAGAACAACAATTAATAAATGGGACCTCCTGAAACTGAGAAGCTTCTGTAAGGCAAAAGACACAGTTAGCAAGACAAAAAAGGCACCCCACAGATTGGGAAAAGATATTCACTAACCCCACATCTGACAAAGGGCTGATCTCCAAAATTTACAAAGAATTCAAGAAGCGAGTCTCCAAACACCAAAGATACAACCAAAAAATGTAAATAGAGAATTCTCAGTAGAGGAGTCTAAAATGGCTGTGAGACACTTGAGAAAGTACTCAACATCCCTTGCCATCAGGGAAATGCAAATCAAAACAACTCCTATCAGAATGGCTAAAATCAAAAACTCCAATGACAGTTTATGCTGGAGAGGATGTGGAGAAAGGGGAACACTCCAACACTGCTGGTGGGAGTGCCAACTCGTATAGCCACTTTGGAAATCAGTATGGAGATTCCTCAGGAAAATAGGAATCAGTCTACCACAAGACCCAGCAATTCCACTCTTAGGCATATACCCAAAAGATGCACATTCATACAACAAGGACATCTGTTCAACTATGTTTATAGCAGCATTATTTGTAATAGCCAGAACCTGGAAGCAACCTAGATGCCCCTTAACTGAAGAGTGGATAGAGAAAATGTGGTACATTCACACAATGGAGTAAAATTCAGTGGGGAAAAACAATGGAATCTTGAAATTTGCAGGCAAATGGATGGCATTAGGAAAAAAAAAACATCCTGAGTGAGGTAACCCAGTCACAAAAAGAGAAACATGGTATGCACTCACTCATTTATGGACATGAATTTTAGACATGAACTCCTGGAATTCAGTGTCAGAAAGAAAGAACTGATGGGCAAAAGAGTTAAGATTGGCCTGGTTTAACCCATAGAAACTGTTGACCTGAACAAGGGGGAGCTCTTGGTCTCCAGATTGATGGCTGTGTGGAAATCATGGGACTGACCCAGATCCCCTGAATGTTGGTGTCAGTGAGGAGGCCTAGGTAATCTATGGGGCCATGGGTAGTACTTAACCCTGGCTTACAAATAGACTTTGAGTGCCCATGCCACAATGTGGGAGTCTCTCTCAGGAGCGACTCTTGGGGAGGGTCTAGGCCCTGCCCTGGATGAAATAACAGTCACTGGAGATCCACTGTAGAGGGCCTCACCCTTCTTGGGGACTGGGGGACCTGGTGGGGAGGGTGGAGGAGGAGGGAAGGGAGAGGGAGCTGGGATTGACCTGTGAAACAAGATTGTTTCTAACCTAAATAAAAAATATTAATTAAAAAATTGTACAGTATTATAAATTTATAATGTTTAGAGGCACTATTAAAACTTATAATGGTTTTGAGGATTCTCTTCAAAAATTTATGTGTGTGTATGTGTATATATGTATACAATAAAATATATAAATATTTTATAAAATATGTAAAATAATTTCAAAAATGAAATTTCTTACAAGTGTGGTGAGAAAGATTTTATGAACAAGATATATTTGAATAAATTTGAAGAGCAATGAGAATACATTTGGTTGGAACATTGAAGTCACTAAGTCCTGTTCACAATAGACTTTAACCAGAATTCTGTAGTCTAAGGACAATTTGGAGGTCATTATATTTAGCTTCTTAATTCTAGGCTATTAAGATCTATTGTGAACCACCAATTTCTATCTCATCCAGGCATTTTACAATGGTAATCAGCTGGATTGGTCTTTGAACTAATTTTGAAAGTAGTATGGTTCTCAAATCTAACTAGGAAGGAATGAAAGTACCACAGAATACCTCTTAATGTTTCCAAGATAATATTTCTGCCTTAAATCTGGGTCCTAACAACTGATGTAGGAAGGAAAGGGGAACTTGTAAAGTTCAGGATCATCTACTCACATGGTCAACTTCACTTGTTGCAAGTACCATCCAAGTGTGAGAGAGCCGAATCTGCTATTCAGTTTACAAACAGAACTCAAGAAAGTTTCAGGTATGGATATTTGGGTGTGTGTGGGCCGCGGAGTTCTCTTGAGAAACCTCTAATCCTTGTGAGAGGTGTCATTTTCCTAGAAATGGGTGGTAGAGAACTTCAACTGATCTTTGTTACAGCCAGTTCTTTGTGGATATCACTTGGAGTTCCTGCACAACACCTCATTCCCATGGCTCCAGAGCCGAGGAGACAGTAGTAATTTGTTTAACCTCCCAAGGAATGCAGGACAGCACATGGAGTCATTGTGGTGTTTCTTGGCCCAACACAAGCAGACTCTTGAGAATTTCTCATAATTAATGGCATTATCATGTTCAGGCTCTCTCATGCACTAACCAACGCACATTTAAGTGGCATACTCAATTTCCCACTCCTTTCTTTGATCCAGTAGAACAAGTTTGGCTATATAGTTATTGCTGGTGAGTATCCAGGAAAATCCTAGGCATAGATTTACATTACTTTATCTGTGGGCTTTGTTGTTTTGCCCCATTATATTGGGTTAGTCCTAAGAGAGAAATAGAGTGCACATAGAACACATACACTGAAGAATATTAAAGATTCAAGAATAAAAACCAGATTTCTCTTAAATGAAAAATGGTGGAATGAGAATATTATTAAAGGGAGAGCACTTGCTTAGCATGGCTCTGGGTTCCATTTGCAGTAAGGAGAGAAAGGGAGACAGAGAGACGAGAGAGGATTAAGGCACCTCACATCTGTGTTAATGTTGGGGTACCTGGCACTTCTAGTCCTATGCTTTTCTATGATACTTTATTCTGCTTGGAGTATCTGGCCTGTCACTGAAGCAACACTGAACTTTTGATATCTTGCTTTTGGTTTAAGATATTACTTAGAGCCTGTTGCTTTGCCAAATTGTTTTTAACTACTGAAAATGTTTATTACATAGCTCTTCACTCTAGTGTTCATTGGATATAACACATTTACTCTGGAATTATGTAATTTGTTATTTAAATTAGAGCTATATGGACTACTTTTTAAAACTTAGAAGTTGTTTTTAATTTCTCTGCTTGGTGTTATCAATGCTTTAGATACCAGTCTATTTGAAGCAAACAAAATAAACACTAATTTTTCAGAGCAAATTTTCATCTTATTTGATATTGATCTTGACACAAACACATCTAAAACAAATCACATCTGCATTTTGCAATAATTTTACATTTCAAATTGAGTAAAATATGGATAGGGAATTAAAAGCAAAAATGTAGATTATACCAATAGGAAATTTTATGTTTCTTGGGAAGGTTAGTCAAGACTGTGTGAAATAATGTAGACCATTTTTTACATTTTAATTGACAAATCATGACTCCAATTGACTACATAGACACACACACATCCCTGGCCCCCAAATGAAACAAAACATCAGAAATGACTTTTGAAACCCTGTAAAACTTCCTGGTCTTCTGGCCATTTCTGCAGAAGAGTTAAAGTATTCTAGTCACAACCCATTCATTAGATTGGATGCTATACATCTACCAAAAGCAACCCAAATAATGTAATGCCCAAGGCTCCAACTTATGAAAATAACATTTTAAGGATGACCTCCTCTTCATAGCAGGGATTTGCATCTATCAAGAGCTACAGCTGAACTATTTCCTAAGAAGTTCTGCTTTGGGTTGTGTTTCATGGGACTAAAACCCAATGCTGTATTTAGATTGCCGTCTAACCACGTGTCTTCTAGCCAAATAGGAACTTACCAGATTCATGCGAGATTGTTTTAACAGTGAGCAGCTTCACACTCTCTTTATCAGACTGAGGCCTGTGGGACATAGAAACACTTCAGTTAGCACCACAGTCATGTGCAGGGTGTCCACACAAGGAAACAGATTTGACCCAGAGTCAATAAAGGCACAGGCAAAACCTTTTTTGTATAAGATTCCAAATCAAACTCCAAGTCCCTTCTCTACAAACACAGGCTTATGGTGGAGCTTTTTCCAGTAGTTTCTGAAGAAAGATGGCAGGTTCCATCACTGTCAGTAGTGATCATCAGTTTAGTTAAACATCACTTACATGGAGGAAATGAATGCCACCATTTCTAAATTGCCCATGTGTCCAGTTTTGAGTTATGAGGTAGAAGACTCAGAAACATTTGTGATCTTTCTGATGGTACAGTGAGGTCCAGGGACTTTCATTTTTCATTAAATCTCAATATTGGGAGTGTCTGAATCAACCATTTTAAAGAGAGTGTCCCATATTGTTTTCCAGGTTCCGTTTACAAAACCTAGCTGCTTCCCTGAGACACCCCGAGAGCCTCCACTTGTAAGTAAGAAGGGTAAGCAGTCAAGAGTCATTATTTCTATAACAGTTACAATTTAGTGAAATAAAAAAACACTACTATAAATGAAGGGTACAATTCAGGCTAACAAAGAAAAGTTGAAACTTTTTCTCTATGCAGATGACAGGATTGAAAGTTCTGGGGAAGAAAAGGCAGTGAAACAGCCCGACTTACTGATCATTCCCACTTTCCGGAGTGCCTGGAAGAGAAGACACTTATTATTAAATGTCAGACCTGAGCTGCTTTCTGCTAAAACTCTTTCTAGAACCCCTTTTAATTTTGCTGGGTACCCACAGACATTCCCTCTGATGTAATTAACACACCCTGATACGGTGCAGTCCTTGTTAAACAAACTACAAGGAACTTGGTTCCTGGGTTAATTTTTATCAGATAGCTTCACATTACTTTGAGAATGTACCATCTAGGGCTGTCTCTCACATGGACACTAGAAACATCCATATATTTGATATCTTTGAGAAACTTCTTCTCAAAGTAGCAGCTGCCTTTTTCAACCAGAGAATGGACTTTCCAGTTTTCCTTTACACATTACTCTTTCTTGAGAGACAAATCACTATATTTGTGGTGAGTGAGAGTAGAGACATGCTTCCTGTTGGGTTGTGTCCCCATGATTCAGTCTCCTAAGAATGGTCTTCCAAGTGCCACTGAGGCGGCTAGCTTCCCAAGTGTCTGATAGAAGCCTCTTGGGTTCACGGTGAGAATGGTTCATCTTGTACGCTCATGGCCTTCCTGAAGCAAGTATTAAGCTGTTTCACTGCTCTGTTTGCTCATGATAATATTCCATTCCATTTGGCCCCTGTGGCAGTTTCTTTTCCTATCTAACCTAGCTCATCATTGGAATGGGCCTCTTGAGTGTATCTCTTCTGCCTTTGAGTGTTATTATTTTTATAAAGACCTTGAATAACATTAATATTTAGGCTTTTTCTATTTATGTTGCCAAACCTAAGACATCCAACTAGATCTCTAATTGTGTAAGATTAGCCCATTGTACCCCTTGCAGCTCACTAATGATGTCTAACTATATCTTTCTCCATCAGCAGGGTCCAGCAGTGTGCTTTTATTACCACAAGTGCCAAATGCAATATTATTTGTGATATTCACAGCCCCCCTTCACAATGAGCTGCTAATATCTGAATGCATGTTTTAGCATTTTTACTTAGAGAATGGTAACAGTGGGTTAATTAGCAGATAGATGTTTGCCACAATTTGCCTATATGCTTGTGTTAAAGCTCAGTCTATGGCTACCATTATTCAGATAAGCTTAATCTCCAACTTCTGATTCATGTTGTCTTCCAGAGAGCAGAGTGGGCTTATTAATTTTCCAAATGTAATGAGGTCTCCCCACACATACTTGAAGAGTGATTAACTGCAGGTGTTTAATGGTGCTAATTTAAAGATAAAAATGCTGGAAATTCTGTGTGGAAACAAAGCTAACAGCAACTAAATAGATCTGGCTGATTATCTAATTTCCACACTTGGTTTTAGAACACCATATATCTCCATAATAACTCTTTTGAGTGATAGGGATTTATTCATTTAGAGTCAGCTTTAATAGAAAATGTCACTTTTAACCTCATGCATTTTCAAAGTTTTCCAGTTAAACAATTCTTTTGCAGTACACAGTATTTTATAAGTGGATTTAACATATTAGTTTTTATTCATCTCATAGACTCAACACCCACATGCTTCAACTGTATTCCAATAGAACCAGGGTTGGTGGCTTAAAAGCGGGTGAGGGGCGGGGAGCTGGTTTCTATAAGTACTATTTCCTCTGGAAACTGGATAAGAAAATATCCTTCAGGCATTATGAGGTTCATTCACTCACTCCTACAGGAAAGCACATTGTTTTCTGTTTCTTTCTTTTTCCCTTACTTCCTACCCAGAGCTCAATTGAATGCCACTGTTTTGGTCTGCTAACTTCCTTTGGCTGTGAAGATCTGTTCCAACTGTCTGGGAAGATGCACAGTCAGTGACTGGCCTAAACCGAATTCATTAGTGTCCTGGGGTAAGAAAGTAATCATGCAGCTTATAAGCAGTATAAAAATAAGTACCTCTTACCTTCTTAATAGCTTAAGAGGCTTAGGTAATATTTTGTTAGTGAAACAGAATGAAACTAAAGGGAAGATCTGTTTCACTGGCCATTTTAAAACTTTATCTTTTTTCCATTTGTTAAAATTTTGATTTCATTTTTCATTTCAACCACAGTTCTTCCTTCCTCCCCCCCCCATTCTATTCCTATTCACCTCCACCCCTAGCCCACTCCCAGTCTATTTCTCCTTGGGGGTAAGTACTCCCATGAGAAGTCAACGTAGTCTGACAAAATAGGTTGGGGCAAGGTCAGGCCCCAATCCCATGAATTAAGACTGAGCATGGCATCCCGCCATTGGGAATGGGCTCCAACAAGTCAGCCCGAGTCTACTGATATATGGCAGGCATAATGCAAGGTGGAGCTGTATATAATTGTGGTAGGGCAGTTATTGCTGGGCTCACAGGCAATACAGGCACAAAGCAAGGTAAAAATTCTACAATACCAGGAAGCTGTTAATCCAATTATGCAGACTAAAAATTAAAGTTATAGTCTGTTATGCTTAACCAGTGGTGTGTTATCAAAGGTACAACAGATTATTGTTAGTTGAATCCTATAGGATAAGTTACAAGTGTGTTCTAAAAGTCAAGTGGTGGGTAAGCTTGATGTTCCAAAGTATGGATGAATGTATGGAAACCTGAACTTCATAACACATCTAGGGCAGATGTCTGGGATTTACTGATGATGAATTGGAGTTCATGTGGTAGAGGGAGTAGCTAAGCTAAACAAGCAGAGGGAGGTGTGGCCAAAGTATCAACTTGAAAGGCAGCACCACCCTAGGACCAGGAGAACAACTACATATAGCAGGAAGGATCATGAATGAAGTAGAGAGTTTTGTTCAGAATAATGCATTAACATCGGCTCATTAGTCGAGACAACTGTACTGTTCTAAGCTGATTATGATGACAGAAAATTGATGATGATGATGATGGGTGGACCATATTAGATAAGGAATACTAGGGAATGTCTTATCTTTATAAATTATCCACTCTAATACATTAATTTAATCTACTCTACAATAAAAGACTTATTAAAAGAAAGGATAAACTACATAACACTGCCACAGAAGACACCTATATTGGAAAGGAGTTGAGCCACCAAGGAGGAAGATGGTGGCAGAGTATGATTGTTGAGATTATGGGCTTCTAAACTAAATTTCCACACCCTTGTGCTTACTCTCTGGCCCAGACAATACATCCAATTGCACATCATCTTTGGAGCATACACTTCTTACTGTCCTCACAGTTGAGGCTATTCACGAGCAAGAATTGATGTATATTTACTCTACTACCAGATCTTAATTATCACTCCTTATTTTGAACAGCATGAAGAAAATATCTTCATCTCCCCCCACCCCCACCCCCCTACCCCCATTCTTTGTGGTTGGCGACATTGTATCGTCACTAAAAAAAACTCTTCTCCTTTTAACAGTTTTAAGTGTAAGTTTGCACTAAGCAAACTCCGACTCTACTTTTGAGAAAACAAAATGGAACAAAACAAAAGGTCATTACTCACCTGGGTCTCTTTTCCAGCACATTCGATACAAACCCACCAGAGTAAATACCAGGAGTGTTATAACAATCAACGCAATAACCACAGGCAAAATAATACCTGAAAAGTATTGGAGATATTGTTAGCTGAAGTGATGCCAGCTTTATACAAACAGACCATGCTGGACAAAACATGCATGCTTCCTTCTTTAAACAACACTCTATCAAAACACTAACATATTTTAGGCAATAATTAATCTGATTTACAAATTTGCTCTGCTTGTCATTTCTGACATATCCACTTGATGTCACTCTTGCAGCCTTTCTTAAACTTTCAAACCTCAAGGAGGTGGCTTCTCATCTTTCTGGAGGCTGGAAGCATATGGAGAGAGAAGACTAGAGGCAAGAATTCTCTAGATTAGACTTAAAACCGCAACTATTCAATATATTCTTTTGTATTTTATAACGAGGTTACTTTTAAAAAATGCAGCTCACTTGGAGGATTCTAACCTTAAGGCTGAAACTTGTGTCTTCGCAACACCTTCCCTTAAAACTAGGAAATGTGTAAAAGAACATGAGTAGATTTATTGGATAGCATTTTAGAAAGTCTAATATAACTAAAAATGGTTAGGTATGCACACGTGCAAGGAATGTGTTGCTGTTGTGAATTAGGAGAAGGTTTTCCTGTTTTGCTTAACAAGAAGTTTTTTGCGTTTTCAGTGTTGACTATCACTGAAGGCACAAAAGTTTAGTGATTAAAGCAAAAGAATAGTGAGAGGAAGAACTAGTGAGGTGTTCCCATCTGCTAGCGTGTGTGCTTCTCGCCTGTCTATCAAGGGGCAATGCTATTTTAATTCATCATAGGGTAGCTACCATTTCATGATTAAGTCAATGTTAAAGCACACTTTAAAATAGATTATTGAGGGACAGTATTTCCTCCTCAAAATGAAAATGCCATCAATCAATGGGTCGGTTCTTTCTGTGATACCTTATTTAATGAGATGGCTTTTTACTGAAACAAAGATTCTCATTTGTAATTCCAGCTTCTCGTACATTCAACTTACTGTTAATTGCTAAGAGAACAATTGAATTATGATTTATTCAGACAGCACAGCTCTAAGGTGTTATATTGCTTATATATGTTCAAGTTAAAATAAAATTAATTGCCATTGCTATGATAAAATTTCATCAAGGCAAAAGAAGCAGTTTTATAATTTAATTGATTTAAGAATATTTAACTGGCAAATGAAGATGAATATGTTGAAGTCATGATGATGTGTATAAAATTTATTAGTATGGTGATTTTGCCTTAGCTGAATACAGTTCCATCAAGCCATTATTTGTCCATTCTGGTAATTGCTTACTACTAAGAGGAGAGTGAAAAAGGAAACAAAAAGAAAAGAAAGGAAGAAAACAGCCACAGTGTAGTAATTCAGATGAGATGTATGAGGGAGTTTTAAAGTCGGCTGCAGCTTGAATTATAATGGAGCTGCATCCTGAGGAAAGTTGAGAAAAGGCTGTCCATAAGCCTGTCTCACTTACGTGTTGTGCATGTCTATTTCAATGAATGGGATGCATATGTTACTCACTGGAATAAGAGGGGGTGGTTGATGGAGTGGCTGGAATCTTCCCATCCTCAGTGTCTACTATTTTGAGAGAGAAAACAAACAAGTCACCCCTGATAAATATGTTAATACATATAACTTTCCCTCTACACCCATTTAAGGAGAGATCCATGATATATAGTTATGATGTTACAAACACAAAATTTTCCTCCACCTTGCAAGAGCTACGTTTTGAAAATCAAGATGGATGGAGTTTATTTCATAAAGAGCAATAAAGTAGAGTACATTTCCATCCAGACACACAAAAATCATACCTTGAAGCTTCGAGATGATTTTTGCAGTTGTTAGTAATGCTGAGGGTGACACGATGGTTTTTGACAAGGCCTCTGGCAGTTGAGTGGTAACTACAGGAAAATCACAAACCCAGACTTAGTTTATGGTATTAAGCCTTCATATTGGATTTCTTTGTAGATTTGAACAGTCTACAACATTTTTAAAGGCCTGGGAAAACACTTTATTTCTGCACAATAAAATATATAAAATAGTAATGCTGAATGTGACTCCATGTATTTCTTCTGGAAAAATGATTGACTTTAGCATCACACAAACTAGATATCAGGATTACATTGTCCAGAGCAGAGCTGGCCAAGAGCACCTGAACAAGTCTCATACTCCAGCCCACAGTGCCCAGAACTAAAGGCATGAGGTTCCTGTGAGATGTAAATCTCTGAGAAACACTAACCACATTTCAGATTTTTTTTAATTATTTTAATTTTAAATAGCTTGCTTCACATGCCAATTCCAGTTCCCTCTCCCTTCCTTCCTCCGGCACCCCGGCAATTCCCCCCCCCACCGCCTCCCACCCTATCACCACTTCCTTCCACATAGGGGATATCTAGAGTCTGTCATTTCACTCAGGGCAGGGTCCAGGCACTCCCCTAAGAGTCCAGGCTGAGAGAGCATCCCTCTTTGTGTTATGGACACATGAAGTCCGTTTGTATGCCAGGGATAAACAATGACCTACTGCCCAGGGTCCCATAGGCTGCCCAGGCCTCCTCACTGACTGTCACACTCAGGGGGTCTGGATCATTTCAGATATTTTTAAATTTGGGAAATCATGTTTTGTCCACCACACATGCTTAAAACAGATGTGAATGCAGAAAATGTTAGGTTTTATGGGTTGAAGATAAGGGTCACTGTGAAGGTTCTGATGAGAAATGGGGGGAGAATAATGAACACCCCTTGATTTCCCACCATAAAGCTCTGTGACTAGATGAACATCTTCTGTAAGAAAATGGCTGCTTGGTTGTTTCTTCACCATTGACCATGGCAATTTTTTTTCCTCAAGGAAAATGTCTTTGCCATATTCCAATCAGCAGACTAAGTAGATTATTATTATGAATAAAAATTATCAAAAATTTAAAATATAAGGCAACATACCTTAATATACACAACCTAATACATGCCATATCCACAAACAAAAGAAAATACAAACACTGAGTACTTCATAATTTTGTCACACTTACTGTGAAACAAGAGTAAAGATGTAATTTAGAACTTTTGAAAATGAATTCTTTCTCTCTTGGGGCAGAAAGTTCTCCTTTGTATCATAGTTGCTGGCTCATCTTTCCACAAAACTCCCAGAGTTCAAAGGGCTGAACTCTCTCCATCCCTCCCCGGCATCTCCTGCCTCAGCCCGAGTGCACCAAAGCAAGTCTGACCATGTCGCTCTACGGAGACCTTCATTCTGCTAGGACTCGTTAGGAGTTCCGAGGCCCTGTATAACTGCACCAGAGATTGATATTTCTGGGGCTGCCGTAGCTGCTCCTTCCTCCTTTGCCCCCCACAGCACAGCACACACTGCCTGCTTTGTGGGGGAGGAATCATGCTGAGAGGCTACACTGTGCTTGCCAGGCAAGAGATCTGTGGGAGGGAGCTAGATACATGCCCATAAGAACAAAGAGAAATGTCAGGCTGGTGCACAAAGCAGGCGGGAAAAAAAGGAATATTAAGCAAAAGAGTGGGAGCTAGCTGAAAGCTCGGCACTGTTAGTTGTGGTTTTCAGTGTGAAGACCTGCATGGCAATGAATAGTCTTTTGGGTATTTTGGTAGAGGACAAGATGGCTGGCTGCATAACCAATGGTTTTGGGATTTACCAACGGGCAGTTTCTAAGACTCCATATCCCACCTCATCTGTTCCTCCTGTTCAGGCCAACAGTTGCTTTAGGCGTGATTATGGCTGATTGAAATGACACTACCCAAGCTTCCTGAGTAAAAAATGTGTTGACCACCAGGGCCAGGAGTTACTGCTACGTTAACCCTGATTAACCACAACTCAGAAGATTGCCGTTAACCTTTCTTACGTGAATTATCAGTGCTGCTGAAACAGAGACACTTCCATGTTTCTATGCTGGTTTTTCTTTTGACTGGAATTCTTACTTAAGAAATCGTTTCTGAATTCAGCACACACATGAATGCACAAACTCGTGCTTACCTGAGCTGTATGTAATTTGGTGTCTGCATGTCTATTATTTTTCTATGTAATTAAAAATACTTGTTATGACTTTTATTAGTGCTCCACAATGAGAGAAGCCCTATCTTTAGCATGGTTATATGGCAAACATCATGGCACTTGGATAAACCCACTAATTGTGAGCTCAGTGTTATTCTTGCAGAGGGCTGCATGGTGTGGTCTGATATCTTCATTCATTGTCTTGAAAATGTGCTACCATAAATTTTTACCCAAATAACACTTTCGGAAAAGGCTTAGGTGAAGAATAATGAGGTAGTAAAGAACATGTTTCAGAAGGCTGGGCGCCAGAGCTAGACTCTGATTATAAAACGTGCTTCCTATGGAGGCTTGTCACACTGTTTAACCTCTTCTTGTCTGGTTTTCTTATATGTAAAGCGTGTGAAATAGTTTCATATCATATTGTTGTTGTAAAGACTAAGTAAGAATAAATTTAAATTGTCTAGGAGAATAACTGGTCTTAGCATGATTATTTTAAATTATATATTATTATGTAATATATGCTGTATGATATTGCTATAATGTATGATTATGCCTTTTACAAAGTTGAACTTTCCAACTAAAGAGAGTTCGTCCAATTTCCTCAAAAAATCCAGAGTATAGCTGTGTGAAATTGACTTTCCAGACATTTCCACGTTTTTAGGTGTTTCTTTTCTCCAGTCAGAAGTAGAAGAAGCTGAAAAACATGTCACTCTTAGATCACACAGTCTGCACTTAGGTCCTGATTTTTTGTGACTGTGATGGTTATTGAACTCTAGAAGCATTGTGTCACAAATTAAATGCAGTTTACAAAGTTGAGGTCAAAACTCGGAGCAATCTAAGCAAGATCTCTTACAGCCAAGCCTATTCCATTGAAATGTATTCACATTTTCCTCAGAGGTCCTGACAGAGGCCCTTTTTGTTGTTTTAAACTAGGTTTCACTATGTAGTCCGGGCTGTCATGGACTCATTATGTGGAGGAGACTGGTTTCAAACTCACTGAGATCTGCTTGCCTCTACATCCAGAGTGCAGGGATCAAAGACATGGGCCACCACGCACATGCTTTCTTGCAGATTTCCTAAGTCAGTGGGAACTTTTCTAACAGGGGAATCTACTGTTGTCCCAAGGAATCTGAGGTTGACTAGAGAATCTTCAAAGGACTGAAATTATGGAAATGTCGGTGACTGAGATTCACCACTTGTCTGACTCCATCTTGTGCTGGCCCAAGGCTCTACTGCCCCCAAGGCTGATCAAACCATGCACACCACTTCCTGAGAGCTGTGAATGTGAGAGCTTTTGGGTTGGAGGATCCTTTGATGATCTTCCTTAAACATCCTGAGCAGGAATGTCAACCTAGAAGGCTTTCACTCAGCTGGGCTCCCCTTCCCTCTCTCCACATCACACTTACCCTGCTATCTGATGGCTTCTCTAGAATTACTCTCCACCTTACTTTCATGTCTTATCTACACTGTTTTTCCCCATTAGTTATTGTTATATTTATACATGTGCATAAATACATTAATACAGTCTGCTGAGTCCATTTAGTATTGCTTGTATGTTTTTAGTGTTGACCACTTGGAATTAGATAACAAATTAGAGACCTTGTCCCTGGGGAAAACTGATTCTCTTCCCCTTCTGAGCATCCGTTCTTTTCCTATAGTTCTTTATCTAAGGGTGCAGCTTTGTGAGATCCTCCCCATCCATGTTGACATGCTACATCGTTTCTTTTTGTATTGTTCAATAATAACCATGAATATAGGCCGGGCTCTGTATCTAACAGTGAATAATGAAGGAAGCACAGCACAGTGTGAGATACAGAACAAGCATACAAATATGCCATGGCTCATGATGAGTGAGCCCATGCCACCTTTTAGGAATCTTATGAATAAGCTACTCTACACAACAAGGGAAAGATTTGAGAAGCTTTTGTAATGATGTATACCATAGGTGAACGAATCAGAACGAGGAAATACACGGCTAGGCAAAGGGAGGAAGCAATCATGCTACAAGAACTTACACAAGTGCTGGTGCTGACTTTGGCCGCAAGGGTGGGTGTTGAGCATCCTGATACCCAGGGAAAGGATAGAGTCTATGCTTGGTTTCCATCATCAGAAACAAAATGGCTTATTATAAAAGGCAAGTTGAATATAGGTAGTTCAGATAATGAATGATATGCATGCAGTTGTTATAGCTGTGTTTGTGGAGGGGAATGTGTTTATAGAATCATTGAATGCTCTCCCAGCTTAAGATCTTAGACTCTTGTCATGTGGTTTCTTGCTTTTTCATAGCTTTTACACACATATACAAATGATGGAACTCTCCGTCCAGCTAATAGGTAGAAAAACAGAGGAGGGCTTTTCTACCTTTGAGTGGTTTAGATCGAGTTTGAGTCTCCTAAGGGCCTACATTACTGAACAGAGCTACTCCTACAACAATGTCAAAGTTTTATCTTAAATGTCTATCATTTTGCTTTGACTCATAAATGTGATTAACCTCAGTGTGAACTGAGATCTATTTAGTTTAGACAACTCTATAGAAGTTGATTGAGAGAGGAGGATTTCCCCTTCCTTAACCAGTTTAGAGTTATTAAATGCCAGGAACTTATATATGAGATCCAAGAAAAAACAAAGCAGGATACTATTACTTCCATAAGTGCCAGTAATTGTATCCAAAGAAAATATGTTTAATCTTGCATTTTAAGGATAAGAGATACTGTAGCTCAGTGAGATGAGATAAACATGCCTGAGAGTAAGTGAGAGAAAGTGTAAGTTAAATACACTCTAAAACCATTTCTATTTCCCTTCTAGTCTTTCATAGAATCAACAGATTTTTAAGACTATTCTACTTGCTTATATATAGTTATCCAATAGGTTAATGAAATTTGTTATTCAAATTCTGAAAGGTTTAAAACATTCTGTCTCTACCAGTATTGATATATCTATAAAAATATTAAAAAGGATTTTGCTTCAAATTTGTATGGGACACTATATGTCAGATATTATTAAGTGTTTTACAAAGAGTAACTCTCCCATTTATTATTGAGTTATTGCTCATGTTGTTTTTCAAAGCAGAAACTGGAGCCCAGAGAGATTAAATATCTTCCCATGATCACACTGTAAGTAGACTGTAGAGCAAATATTTGAATGCAAACTCTAGAGTCAATTAGTTGTTTTAAAATTTTTAAATGCCCAACCTAAGACTCTAGATGGCTTACAGTGGTATATTCTTTGCATGAGTGTGTTCTCACTGAGGAGAAATGTCATGATTCTGTCACGGAAAGACAGAGAAACAATGGACACATTACTCCACACAGAGTGACTCATGCCTCACTTTTTACAGCTTCCTGGAGGTATGGAGCACAGTGAACGTGCTCACACAGCATGTCCCTTCCTCCTTCCTAATGGTTTGGTGTAGTGGTCATATGTTGTCTGTTCTTGCTTCTGCTTTTCTACCAAGCTTACTGTCTGTATTGTAATCACAGTTCTGAAACACAAAATTGAAGAAGGTGGCGGGGGTGCCATGAGACCTTTATAAATTGTGCTGTCCATTACAGGAGAACTGAGACACCACTGTAGTGGCTAGCTATATGTACCCCAGGATGCCTAGAGATTGGACCAAGTCTTGCTATTGGGTCATTTAAATTGATAGAGAAAATGAAGAAGAATGCCTTCCCCAGTGTGAGTGGGCCTTGTACATTCAGTTGAAGACCTGAGTAGAATAAGGAGAAAAACCATGCTACTTCATGACCTTGAGTGGGAGCATTGACTTCTCCTGCTTTAGAAACACCAGATTTTTGTGTTGGTCTCATTCCTGGGATATTCTAATGAACACTCGGAGAATAGAAAATTAACTTACCTGACATTTCTGTTGTTTTGATTGAACTCTGATTTTCAGCTTTCAAGGGAAAAATAAAAACACTAAAATTAAAATGTTGAATAAAATATCTGGTTTTATAGTTGTTTTAAAGGTAAGTTTTATAGCCACTAACTTATTTTGTATACATTTATCCCTCAAATTATATAATCATGGAACTTTTGATTCCAGAAAACCTCAGAGAAGAATCAATTAACTTTTTGTCTCTCCCCTTTTCTTGCTTTTTAAACAACAGTTTCTTCATGGTGTCTTCATAGATACAAATCATTATACTTGTAACTTCCTCTTTTTTTCCCACAATGGTGTTTCTCTGTGTAGTCTTGGCTGTCCTAGAACTTTCTCTGTTGACAAGACTGGCCTTGAACTTACAGAGACCTTCCTGCCTTGTAAATGCTACCTGACTTGTAACTTTCTCTTTAAGGCTTAGTATGTTATGAAGTTTTTCTGTTGCAACTTCTCAGCTCTGCTTTTTAGTGTGAACTCTGTCATATACATACAACACCTAAAGAAAGCATATCATGAACTCTGTCATACACAATACCCAAAGAAAGCATATAATTCTAATTTCATAAAACTTTATTTAGAAAAATAAGCAGGGGTACATATTTTGATTCTCTGGCTTCCTGAAGCCTGATCCAGGTCATGTTTACATGTTCTTACAAATAAAATACCTAAATATCTTTCTGTTTGCCTCTATGTACTCCAAAGCTCCAGATTGAAAGTTGGCTCGTCTAGCTCCCAAGAATGCCTAGGAAAGTCTCTTGAAAGTTAACCTTGACTCACCAGCAGTTCTTTAGTGTGGCTGGCCAGTTTTCATAGGATTGCAGGAGCCCTACCTGACTCCTCAGTCCTCTTAGCCATCAACTCCCTCTTTAACTCTGCTCCACCTTGTACCTGGCATTGATAGATCAAATGCTCAAAGATACAGGGTTCTTCCAGAACTGGATGCTCTTGGTCTTCCTTGTGCCTCAGTGCTCTCTCGAGTCACCTCACTAAACTGTCTCTGCTGTCTTTCATACAAGTCTGCCTCCTGAATTTGTTTGCTCCACTGCAATTTTATTACTATAGTAACATTTACCTTCTGCTTGAAAAATTGCTCATTGTTGGTTGGGTTCTATCTCCCTGAGGATAGATTTTCTGTTTTACATATAGCTGTGGTTCCATTACCTATACCTAGGATGTGCCACTGTTTGTCTCTAGCACAGTGAGAGAGAATATTCCCATTTTTCAGATCTGCAAATATTATCTGAAAAATATTAAATTACTGTCTTAAAGGTAGAACCACAATGACAACTCAGGGCTATTCTCACTAAGAGAGACAGTTTTTCTCCTCCTAAACATTCTAAGTATAAAGTTTACATAATTAATTCCTGCTTTTGATAACTAATTAAAATACATTTGAAAGTGGCATAATGCTGCATTTGGGAGATGCAGTTAAAATATTTATTAGAGCTAGGATTAGAATACAAAGAAATTAAAAACCATTTTTTCCTTTTTATTAATCTCAGGTCACAACCTTTTGTGCTGATAGACTTGTCTGGGAATGAACAATTTTAAGTTTGAATAAGATGAAACCTTCTGACTCTCTTTTATTTGAATTTCTTTTAGCCTTCAAAATGAATAATAATTTTATGTGAATACAAAATTGATAAGAAGCGTAAGTGTGCCCGGAAACTTTGCTGGAATGTAAAGAAACACATCAATTTATCACATTATGCTGAATAGGCTGAGGTCAAAGTTCATATATTTGTCTGTACCTGGAGGAATAAAATGCCAAGAACAAATTCTACAGTTGTCAAATATTTAATCAAGAATAGAATATGACTGGGCATAATGACACAAGCCTACAATTCCATCACTTTGAGAGCTGAGGCAGGAGGATCACAAGTTTGAGATCAGTCTGAGCTCCACAGTCTGAAATCTATAGTGAGACTGTCTCAATAAATCAGCAATTTGGATATAGCTCAGAGAAGAATGGAAGAATATAGTGGAAGAGTGTTTGTCTAACGTGTTCAATGCCTGGATCTGAACTCCAGTGTTTTCAGGGAACAAAACAAGAAGAAATGTGTGCCTCTTTCTTGAAATAATGGAAATAGTTTGAAGACAACAAACTGTTTTTTAAATGAATAGAACATTTAACCTAGACTCAGTTTAGAGGGTGAAAAAAAATCTCAGTAAAAATGAATGCTCTCGCATATGGCTAAGTGTGAGCATCTTTGGTTTTTATTTATATCTGCAAGGACACATATGTGCTGTCAGAAGGCCACACTCGGATCTGTGGAGGAAATGAGGCAAGTCAAACCTCAAATGCATGTGGGATGCTTTCGCTAATACTCTCACAGTTGGATGATCAATAAAAGACAGAACTGTTGATGTCTGTTGTTGACTTTGATCCTGTAATATGAAACTGTGGTCTTCAAAACTGCAAATATATTTCCAAAGCTGAGCTTAGACATTATCGTTTAAGTCAGAAAGCTTTACCAGCGATACAATAAATAACTTTGCTTATTTCACAGGGGAGACTGTGTTTCTAGATAACACACTATAGTGGTACATAAAATGTGATACTAAATGCAGGAGAAAGAATATATAGAGCTATTTTTATATGTGATTATCTAATTCTACTGCAAAATAAGTTATGAGCAATTTCCATTGTATTACTCTGTCATCTGGGCACGGACATGAGATTATTTTTGGTTTGTCTAAACTAGGGCATGTGACTAAGACTATTATTCTGTAATTTCCTCCTGTTTGTGTCTCTAGAAAATGATATCAAGAAACTATCCAGCAAAGGGGGAAAGCTACAGCTAAATCCTTGCAGGGATGTCACAGAGAAATGGCTCGGTTCATAAAGTAGCATTAACAGAGTTGACAATCAGATAAATTATTGATTTCTAAATTGTATGATGTAGACAATAGCAGTGCATGAGATAGATTCTCTGTAACGGTTTGAAGGGAAAATTCAACAAGGATGTTACTTCCTTTCAGTTTAATGTCCATGAAGATGCTATGAGGATGCAATGTGTGTGTGCATGTATCCAGGCATGTGTCTGTGTGTGTGTATCTGTGTCTTCCAGTATGTGAAGATGTGCTTGTTCACATATGTGTCTGTGGAGTCCAGAGGTTGATGCTGAGTGTCTTTGTCAATTGCTCGCCACTTTAGTATTTGAGACAGAGCTTCTCATTGGTTGAACTGGCACTCACTGATGACTAGAATGACTGCACAGGGAGCCACCTGTCTTTGCATCTCAGCCTTGGGTTGCAGGTATGTACAACTATGCCTGGCTTCTTAGGGTGGTGCTGAGAACGTGACCACAGGTGCTCACGCTTACACAGCAGTGTTTTTACTTACTGAGCAATCTCCTCATCCCAGAGTTTGTAACAATTCCCTAGGTCCGTGTTTCTCAACCTTCCCAATGCTGTGAGCCTTTAATACAGTTCCTCAAGTTTGTGGTGACCTCCACACATTAAATTATTTTTATTGATACTTCATAACTGTAATTTTGCTACTGCTATGAATTGTAACGTAAGTAGTTTTGGACACAGAGGTTTGTCAAAGGGGTTATGTCTCAGAGCTTGAGAACCACTGCTCTAGATGAACAATCCGAGACACAGAGGGGTTTCCTGAGCTGGCCAAAGACCACAACACAGATGAATGGTTGTGGTTAAATGTGTTCTTTGTTAACTAAGCATTTTGAATTAAGAATCATTACTCATAACCATTTCTCTTGGCATGATCAGAGACACCACTGTTTGTTTTAAGACAGGCGTGGTGCCTTGAAGAACAAAGACCTGGGTGTAGCTCATTTACACGGTTAGATAGTAGCACCTCTAAAATGTCTATTCAATTATTGTGAATCAACTCTTTTTTGTATAACAGTAAACTCCATACTAAACCACAAATAATTATGTGACAAGGAAATTTATTTGGTAATATGTTTCTTATACATAAATGTTACCATTATACAATAGAAATGTATAACAGTTATAGCATAGATTATTAAAGATAACGTTTATATACAATAAATAGATTAGCAAGTACAATTCCTTATCACATAATCATTTACAATGGACCATCAATCCATAAACTTGTTCCATACTTTTTCCTCAACCATGTCAGCCTTTGTTTAGTACAGGTTACTCTTCTGTCCTCCGTTGTTTCCTCTTTCCTATCCATTCTAAGAAAGTAACAAAATATACACATGTGTAAGTTTACCACTGCTGTGACAAACTACCTAAGGGAGACAAACATGAAGGAAGGAAGGCGTGTTTTGGCTCACGGTTTCAGAGGCATCAGTCTACAGTTATCGGCTGTGTTTGTTTGAGCTAAGGTGAGGCAGCATATAATGGTGAAACATAAAGAAGCAAGCTGCAGAGGCTGTGTCAGCCAAGCGGTCCATAAATGTCATACACCATAACGAGGCTAGTCACCACTCAAAAGTCCAACCTCTGCATACATCCATGCGAGGACCAAACCTTCAATATAAGTGCTTTGAGGGACACATGTGGGACCCAAAACACAATAGCATAGGAAATGAAGAGAGTTAAAGAGAATGCCATATTTCCAATACCTTTCTTACAAGCTGGAGAGTTGGGGTGAGATGATTAATAAATTTACATGTAAAATCTGTGCAGTTCAGATGCTGGCCCACAAGAATCACTGTCGTTGGCATTTCTTTTGAACCATGTATCAGTGCCCGGCACTACACAGAAATGGGGACTGTGTGGCAACAGAGCTAGGTGCACTGAGGCCTGACACAGTTCACTGGTCTGAGGTGCATTTCATGGTGACATCCCTCCAAAAGCTTCGTGGATATGAAATCTGTGATCTTATTTGGAAAAGGGATCTATGCAAGCATAATTAGCAAAGATATTGAGATGGAATTCTTGTAGATTAGGGTAGGCTTTAGATCCCATAACAAATGTCTTGATAAAAGTGAAAACAAAGACCGGAAAGGAGAACATGAAGAGAAACAGGTGGAAGTTGGTATGAAGGTACAGAGTGCATATGATATACCACA